TATTTAGTAATAACGTTATCTAGCTCATAATTATTGCCTATTAACGCCGCATCGCAATACTTAATTAGGCACGTATTAATCCATTGGATGCTGCATAATGCTACGTTAATGCTCTTTGTATTATCACTTCAGTCGTCTGTGTAAACTAACCCGAGTTTATAGTGTTCAATATTAGTCTTTACAAACTTAAGGTAACAAGTCATAATGATAAAAATAACTTACATCGAAAATAAATCAGACATCTTTACTCTAAAAGGTTTGCTTTAGTACTTTATATAATATAAGAAAAATAAATGATTTTTGTAAAAGGCTAAGGAACTCTATAGCTTTTAATAAGCAAAAGAAAGAAGTGCAGAAGTATATCGGATACGGAACAGGAAGCAGCAGAGTGTGTACACACATATTAGAGAAACGACGTTTTTTGTGAATTTTGAGCGGGTAAGTGCCTTCCTCCCAAAATGAGTAAAAATTACGTGGTCTCTGTTTGCTTTATTAGCAAAGTATTTTTTTTAATTATGGTCTTTTTAATATTTTAGTTTATCCAGTAGTAAAAGACTTAATCAAGCAGATGGAGCTTAAGTATAACTTTCTTTTCGAAGTCAGGATAAAATATGGGTGTCACATGAGGATATAAAAAAATTACATGTTGTTTTTGGTTTATCCTACCAACAGCAGCACATTCAGAGTGTCAGAAAAAGAAATGACATATCAAAATTTTAGTATAACATATTCGTATTCCTTATGGACCCTTATCTACTAATTGTATTGAAAAAAAATATTCAGGCTCAACGTCATAATTCTGAAGAAGTTTTTCCCTGAATTTAGAAAAAAATATAAGAAATGCTGAATAGGATCAATTTTGAAAACTAAATCAATATACTTTATATTCAAAGACTTGGTTTTATTGTCCGAAGTAAATAAAAGCGATTACAATAAATAACTTAATGTTTTTTTTGTTATAAACAACTCAAAGAAAAAATTTTGCAATTTTCTATATGTCATTTAAAATTTCATTATGATAGCTACAAAAAAACAAACTTGAGAAAAAATAAAAAATGTTATTTCTTACATTTATTAGGCGTAAGTAATCAAAATCTGGTACAAAGAACTCGGACTCAAAATTCGTGTTGACTGATGTAATGAATGCTCAATCAATTATCATAACAAAATTGGAATTTATGTAAAAAGACATTTTGTCAGCTTTATAGTAATCCGTAACCATAGCCTATAATAACGATAAATTATACTAGAAATTTAATATTAAGTACTTAAAAGTACTTAGTTTCTCAATGTTATCGAATTTCGTATTTACTTAATTACGAGAAAGTTAAAGTTTTGAAAAGACTTAAAGAAATCTTAGATCGCTTTTGTATTCACAACAGTGCCCATGCAATATAGACTCGAGTTGCTTATTCAGACTACCTTTAAGATTATGAAGTTTGGTTTGCGTTATTTGAGTTATATGATTTTTCAAGTTTATTTTAAAGATATGCAGTACTGTTTCAACTTTAAGCTTTGGACATATCAGTTTGTAAATACATAACTTCAGATTCATTAAATCGACAAGCAAATTTCACTTGCAGATTTAAATTCAGATGAGCACATGACATTCAGTTTCACAATTGCAACAGCGTGTCTGCGACCGGTCACTAAAAACAGGCCTCGATCCATAATAGGAAACGCATCACCACCGAATATGGCACTTTAAATATACACATACACATATATTTACAACAATCGCGCAAGAGGGTGTTGCAATAAACTTCACAAAAAACGCCATAAGCCCAGCCGGGGGTCCTTTAAAACCAATTTGTCTCCGGTTTACGACCACAGTTAACGCATCAAACAATGAGCGAAAGTATTTTGTTTTTTATACCATTCAAGTTTGATCGTTTACCTAACCATAACTCTTTTATTGGCCGCCGTAAAAGTATCCTCGGTGATCGTTTTTTCGATTCCACCGACCGTATCGAAAGCCCTTTAATTATTGGTTCCCATTGCGTCTCGGAACATAACATCAGGTTATGTAATTACTGTAGGAGAGAATAGAACATGTTGTAATCGTGTAGGCAATTAGGGCCTATGTTTTGTTCTTGATGACAATGTTTTCTGGGAATGTCTATTTGTTTGGTACACGTGGGAGTTCCGTCGTGTTGTCTTTAGAATGCCGTTCGAATGCATACGTCGGCCTCGGGTTAAATTAACCGGAAACTTTAAGGGGAAATAGTTAAGATTCAGTGCAGGTCTGTAGCAGTCACTCAGAAAGTTAAACACGCCACCCCTGGCGTTACAAACAGTATCACTACAGGAATCTAAGCGATGGCACTTCGGTTTGCGTTCGAGTGTAAAGTGTGCGAAAATCCTGTAATGAGATTTAATTTTACACTTAACGTTGAACTACTTGTAAAAGGTGGTGCTTCACGATTTTCTAAAAATGGTTAGTCTTAATAATAATAATAATAATAATAATATTCTTTATTGACATACACCTCACAGGACATACAAGACATTAAACATGACAGTGAAAACGTACACAATAGGCGGCCTTATTGCTAAACAGCAATCTCTTCCAGGCAACCCATGACAGTGAAATAAATAAATAAGAGGAACAAGAAGGGGGGGAGGTGTAGCAGGTATGGTAAAATAAATAATGAATAATAGATGTAATAGATATATACAAAGAGAGAGACAAGAGAGAGGTAAGACTTAAAGTTGGGAAAGGAAATAACCTCTAACTTGATCACTAAACGAGCTTAGAGTGCGAGCCTTTCGGATTGTTTCAGGTAGTGAGTTCCACAAGCGAACAGAATGCACAGAGAAGGAATATGAAAAAAAATCAGTTGAATGGAGTGGGACTGCAAGGGTTAGATTTGAAGAGGACCGCAAAGTGCGTTCTGATTTGGAATCAAGAAACGAGAAACATTCATTCATTCATTCTTATTGGATTTTGTTACAAATAATAAACAATACATGTGCGGTTACACAACTGATTGACAGCATCTAACCAGTCATAGACGAACACAATGGACAAAAACATTTTTCTTTTGTAACCGGTAGCAGATAATGCAATCGATAAGGGCATGGATTGTATTGAAAACAGGATAGTGCAACAACAAAAGGCTGTGTGACACGGCATTTTTATTTGTCAAGATTCGGTCCAAACAGAACGTGATCACAAAACGACAAGTGGAGAGGATAGTAGAGATGTAAATTACGTAAAAACTGAATAAAATGGGCGGGTCCGTGGATCTTTTCACTGTATAATGGGAACGTGCGTGCTTCGTACGGACTCGGCCGGATCGCACGGGTGGTCCGATGCGGTTGGACTATTTAAATATTATTTTTTTACTCTTATTATTTGCTCACAATTTTGAGATTTATGTTTGTTTAACACGGAGGTGTTGGGACAACAAGGTGTGATTTGTTGACTTTTTATAGGCTATCGATTACGGTCACATATATCCTGTGTCGTAAAATGGTGCCGCATTATTTCAAAAAGTTTATATGGTCAATAAATTTTCAATTCGGACACATTACTTTTGAATTTACTTGAATAATGTCATAATGTTTACAAACACCAATATTTGACAAACGGAGAATAAGCTGCTAATGTTTAATTATATTTACAAATAAGGAAAACGTTTATGCAAAATATGAAAATAACAGTTGTCATGATTCATGAATCTAATAAGAAGATTATTAAAGCACATAATTTGTTCAGAGATAAAATACGTGACTTGGATAAATTAAGACGAAAGTTATAGGTTGTTGCACTCTACAAGCTTCAATTATATAGGTTTATTGGATTGAGTGTTTTTAGTTGAATTTTTAGTGATTTGACTTAGTGAAATTAAATTGTATGGTACACCCATACAATTTAATTTCACTAAGTCACGAACTAAAATCGTGATTCCGTTAGAAAAATCACAATTTTTATCACATGATACGCGCACTGTAGAACACAATGTTAATTAAACCAAACTACAGAATTGTAAATGAAACTAATTCTAGAAATAAAATCGTCTAATAATAAACGTAGTTGACTGATGTTCAATATTTCAATTCCACAGTCTAATTATTTGTTAGAGCCTCAACGCATGAAACGATAATCACTTAAACCAAATATTTACTATTTCTCACCCACATTAACCAATCAATTTCAATGATTCTCCAACAAATCGTTGCACGACTGGCCCTTTACAGTCTTAATAGAACAAATCATCATCAATTTATTTATCCGACTCGTTCGTATCCCAGTTATCTTCAATAAAGCCGTTTGCCTCATTAAAGTCGTTAACATCTATTTTGACTTGCTTATCTGAGACATCCTTAGATGTTTGTAACAAATTTTCAATAGAGATGTCTGTTTCAAAAGAGCTATTATGTGGATTCTCAAAGTGTCAAGTTCAGTGACTCGAATTATTATTGCGGATTGGTTTGTACTCCCAGTGATTTCATTCTTTCACTCAACATTGTCACTTTCTTCTTTCTTCCTCGTTTCGATTTATTTTGTTTATTTTTTCTCCTATCTTACTGGCGGAGCTTTTAGAAAAATTATACTTCTTAAAGGCTTTATATACAATTCGATTTTTTTATTTTAAAGTTTAAATTTTAAACACGATAAATGAAAGAAGTACTCTTTCATTTATCGTGTTTAAAATTAAAATTTCCTTCATTTTTTTCTTTGATCAACGACGTGCCAAGTATGCTTCACTTATTAATGTTGATGTTTTTAATTTATGTTTGAACCGCTAAAATAGTAGGTTTAAAAGTTCCATTAAATAAAATGTTTCATAGAAAAACACTATGTTTTGTGTCCTGTCATTGCAAACGCATTAATCCCGAAAATAATTAACGCGATGAACACTACACATGCGACCGCTGAAAATATTGATATGCCGCAACCGTGTCCCATTAAACTCAAATAAAGCCTCCACTAACCGCAGTGCGAACGAATTTACCATTTCCGCATAATCCGTATAGCCAAAACACAAACTTACGTTGATCGAAGAAGCAGCGATCCAGACCATTCATAACGTTGCAAACAACCGCATAGTGCACTCAACACACAATTATGTAACGTTCACAACTTGCACACAGTGACGTCACACTCAAAACAAATCACAGCGTCGTTCCCACTCGGTCACTGCACAACGTCAGGGCGGGTGCTAGAGGACATTAGCGTGTTCTACTTAGGCGTGTTGCCTGCACGGCGGTCGGCGCGCGACTGGAGTGCGCGCGGCGCAAGGAACGGGGGAGGGGTGTATCGGAGCGGGAGGGGGTGCGTGCGTTCGGAATCCGCTTCCCACGTGCTCACCACCCGTCCCTTTCTTACAGGACGGGTTAGCTTTTTAAAAGCTCGGCCGTCGCTCGCGTCGACGCATCGATACTTACGCCGGGGGCGACGTTTCACTGTAACCTTGTTTATATGCACTGCAGCTAATAATAAACACGCGAATAACACTTCAAGTGCGCGTTTGTTGTTGTACTGTTTTTATTGTATGTTACAGTTAAGTGGTGAGTTAAGTTGGGATGTTTGTTTTCAGTTTCCAATGCGCGCGTTCATCGCGCCCCTTTCCGGTTGGCTACGTAAACTTTCATAACAGCTTAGTTGTCCTACTTATTAATAAATGTTTCTCGAAAGTTGATACTTTTTTAAGAACTTAGCAAGTCCTTTTCTTTTTAAAGGAAAATAAGTTTAACTGCAATTCGCTTCTAAAACGAGGTTAAGCAGATAAAATTGTATTAAGGAATCTGGATGACATTAACGCCCACATTTTACACTGTAATAAAGAAACGACAAACTCAATTACCCGCTGGCAGAAAGAACGCAACTTGAACTTACTTATTTTAAAAACATCGAAGACAGATAAATTTCCATCATAATAATATGCAAGACAAAAGGGTGGTAGGCGAGTACGTAGTAGGAAAAAAAAAGTTAATGTGTTTCTTAAAACGCTATTTCGGTGGTCGCTCACTTGTCTTATCACCCTGTCACTCGACAGCACGTTTTAGGATTGCTTCTCTAAGATTTTTTTTTTTTTCACCATTCCAAATTTAGAAGCTCGTTGACTCATTGTTGAAAAGTCTCCCTGCTGCATTTTACACGTTATTTTGATTTACGACTTTAAAAAAAGAACTGATAGAAAGAAAAAAGGTGTATTTTTTTTCTTCATAACTGCTCTTTAGATTGTTTCGTAATTTTTTTTTCTCTATCGCGAATAGTGACAGCTTTGAAATATTATCGTACGGATTGTTAGCGAGCGGTGCACCCATTAATTTCGTTTTTGTGAGTTCATAAACAGATGTGCCGTCGTTACAAAATATGCTTAATATCCGAGTTTTTTACTCGAATATGTAGATCTTTTTTAGTATTTTTATTAAAGATATAATTGATTTTATCTATACAGATCGGTCGGAGGAGCTCGATGGCGCAAGTGGTTAGCGCGTTCGGCTGCGATCGTTGAATTTAAGCAACTTTTGCAGTGGTCGGTCATTGGATGGGTGACCAAAAATCTTCTATCTCGAGTTCTTCCGTGCTTTGGAAGGCACGTTAAGCCGTTGGTCCCGGCTGCATCTGCAGTCGTTAGCACCCGCCAATCCACATTGGGCCCGCGTGGTGAGTCATGGCCCAATCTCCCTATTCCATCCATAGGGAAGGCCTGTGCCCCAGCAGTGGGGACATTAATAGGCTGATGATGATATAGATATATTCATTAAATTTCGAGCAGAAAAAGAAAAAAGGGTTTTAAATGTAACAATTAAACTATATAACAGTAACTCTATTAAAAAAAACTAGCAAACCAGTGAACCAAATGTTCACCAAAACTTGATTTAAAAAAAATGTATTTAATTAATTGAGAACTTCGGAGATTTTGTGTGGTTCCGTTTGAAATTCGTGATTTCTCGAAAACCGGAAGTGCTACGTTACTCAAATCCGGTTTGTAGTCTTATCAGACTATTCTTAACTTATAACTTAAATATTCTCTTTTTCTATCTCTTACGGTTTGGCCGCTGAAACAGCACCACAGACAGACGGACGGACGGACTTGTCTAATAGGTAAGAGATAGATTGAGCATTTTATTTTACATATGTAAACCTAAGCAAAAAAAAAAATCTTCTTTAACTAGTCTTTGATGTACAAACTAAAATACGAGTAAACCCCATTTCGTATGATTCCGTTATATCTCTGGAAAAAAGACATTCTGAAAATTTCCAACTTAAATAAGTTGTAGGAAGCGAGCAAGTGTTCTAACAACATAACTTAGAGGCTAATGTTATGTACTTAGCGCGAGACACCGCAACTTTATCCGACGGACGCGTCCAGTTCACGCTTATAAAAATAAGTTAGGTTTAAGCGACCGCTCAGTTCTGAATCAGGATCTCTTAACTTACTTGTATTTAAGACTTTATATCTCAAATGACCATAGGACTAAAAATTAATAAGTTAAATTCAATTCATTTAATTTATTTCAGCCATTTAGCCATATCAATTACAAAGAAACAATAACAAGAATATCAATTACAAAAAAACAATAACAAATAAAAACTACATAATAAATTAAAATAAATACAAAATTAAATTAATAGAATTATAAATTAATACATTATTATATTATTTAATTTTATTAAAATCTGTAAGTACAGTTGTCCAGTGATTACCTAGAAGTATATATAAGTACTTACTTGAAAACTACAATAAGTAGGTATATGTACAAGGCACGTCTATAGTCCAACCAAAAAGTTTTTTTTTTATGATAATGACACTTTGTTGAATTACAAGCTACTTCTATTTTTCTAGTATTTCTGCTGATACGCAGTTTTAAGTGCCAACATTGGAACTTCTCCCTGGCAAATATTTTCCATCCACAATCCAATCCGATATAGCAAAATCCTAATATATTTCGATCCCCTCTCGAAAGCGTCTTTCTGCATTCCCAACTAACAGCACAGTTGACGTTTCTATAGGACAGATCACACAAATTTGCAGCTAAATCTACCGTGTCGAGGGCTATATTACAGAAGGGCGGCAAAACACTATTGGTACCACGTACGTACAAATTATGGGAAGCGAGTGAACCGTGTCCCGCCGGCCGGGTTGCCATTTTAAATTAATTTTTGTACGCATCAGTTACGTTCATCGTTCATTTTTTGAATGACGAAAACAATTGATGGCTCGATTGGAACGCGAGATTGGAGTAAATTTCAAAAAGACACAATTATTGATGTATTTTTTTGTTGGAACGAAGTTCCAGGCTTGGAGGGGATAGGGATGTTGCTGCGAACTGAAAAAAATGTGATAGTAAAACCGTAAGAAAAAATCCGTGGAAAAAAGTGCGTGGAATAAAACCGTTAAATGAGACGTGCGACCGAACTGAAAAAAATGTGATAGTAAAACCGTAAGAAAAAATCCGTGGAAAAAAGTGCGTGGAATAAAACCGTCAAATGAGACGTGCGCAGGCGCGACAGTCGCATACACAAGCGAGTTTGCAATTTGTGTCGATTCTACATTAGCCGAAGGAACTTCGTTCCTACCTGGTGTCCCACGACACCACATCATTTTTTTGATTTATTATTCGCCCTTATCTACTATTCCAATTTAAAAAAAAAATACATAAAAACAAAAGCTAAAGTCTACACCGAAGCGAAACCTAGTAATTGTTATACATAATTCGTCTTCTTCCGATTGTTTGATACTTGTTAAAATATCTCATTTGATATTGTAGTTACCCGCAAACTAAAGAAGTGGCATTGCCTTGAAATCCAAGTTTTATTTTAATAGAAAAAAATCCACGCGGACCAGGTAGCGGACGGGACTCGAACCCTCATACTTCGCTATCCGGGCGAATGCACTGACCATTATGCTACCACGGCCCTATTAGCCGCGTCGAAATTTTCCTAGCCTTAAGATGCAAGGCAGCGCCATCTCTTCGCATTGTAGGTAACCCACAATGTCAAATGAATACTTTTTCAAGTATTAAGCATTTGAAAGAATAAATAGCAATTATAGTTATGATTTTATTTATTTGTTAAGTCTAAAGAAAAGTTTACTAGAAAAAAGTTGCCTGGTCCGCGTGGATTCTTTTCTAGTAAACTTTTCTTTAGATTTAAACATCTAGCAGTTAAATGCTTAAATAATAAATAAATTCATAACTTTTATTTTAATGTTTTTAAAGGGACAGTATACAGCTTATTATGTAAATATTGGAGTTCGTTCGTTCATTTTTGGAACGACGAAAACAATTGATGACTCGATTGGAACGCGCGATTGGAGTAAATTTCAAAAAATGGTTGCCTGTAAAGTCGGTTTTACGGGCGAAGATTTTACGTGACAACGTCTTTTTCTCGGTAGAATATTTATTGATATGAATATAATTAAATTGCACAATAGGAACAAGGAATTGAATGAAAATAAGAATTGCACAAATTTTAACTATAGAAATATATTTTGTTTACTAAAACATTGTACATGTAAACTTAAACTTAACACGAGAGACTCATCGTAACGTTACCGAGCGTTACACTTTTTCATAAGTGACTCCCAGCCGCAACCTAATTTAAGACGTTGTCACGTCAAAAAGACACAATTATTGGGTGTGCTTTGATGTAGTATGCTATTGCTTCAACTACGCGTGATGTCGTCATTGAAGATGTATAAAGCAAACAACGTTACCTATAAGAATAAAATCCTGCCAGCCCAGATTACACTGTCGGATTTCTTTTAATATAATCTTGGGCTTCAAGGCAAAACACTTTTCGTACGAGCCACGTACGTACAAATTATGGGAAGCGAGTGAACCGTGTCCGACCGGCGGGGTTGCCACTTTAAATTAATTTTTGAACGCATCAGTTACGTTCATCATTCATTTTTGGAACGCCGAAAACAATTGACGGCTCGATTGGAACGCGAGATTGGAGTAACTTTCAAAGAGACATTATTATTTAGTGCTTTGATGTAGTATGTTACTGCTATTGATTCAACGCGTGATGTCGTAATTGAAGATGTGGAATAATTCACTCAGCCCAAATCGCACTATCGGATTTCTTCTAATATATATATATATAGGTACATTTACGGAAAAAGAAATTAGGTACTGAATGTACACCTATATATTCTCCTGAGAACAGATAAGGTCTGTATTTTTATGGTAATATTTGTTATTAACGGGATTGTTACCATGTACCTTGTTGACGTGACAACGTCTTAAATTAGGTTGCGGCTG